GGACGGCCTATGCGTAGGAGTTACAAGCGGGAAGGTGCTCAGTGATCTCGCCATCAATGTTCCATCAATGAGCCCGAACACGAGGCTCACACCCGCCGCGCGAGGCGTCGCAGCGTCGAGCCCGAGCTCAGTACTCAGTAGTAGTACCAGCATTTGCCCTGCCCGGAGGCCCATATGTGACAGTACACAGACTCTACTCACAGCAAGCCTCAGTATCGTATGCCCTCATCCTGTAGTGCATCTACCCTTGGATGAATATCATGACCACCCTCTTGGACAGGACTACGAACATGGTGATATTACTGAGCTACAGTGCTTCAAAAATATATACATTGTGGGGGTGGCTACATAGGGACGGGCGGGGAGCGAGGTCGTCGTCGGAGACAGCGAGCACGACACGCGAGACGGGAGGCGCGACTCACACGCGGCGGCGCGGCGCGGTTGATGGCCGGGCACGTCGCCGCCCGCCGCGGACACGCATGTGGGCGCACACGGAGGCCCTCCGGAGCCTCCGGAACGAGGGTCGGAGGTTCTCAGCGCCTTAGCGACCTGCCATCATGGTGGATGGCTGGATATCCGGTGGGTAGCATACAGGCGGGGGTTTAGCTAACTAGCAGCGTTTCAACGATCACTGGGACGTTGCTAGTTAGCTAAAAAAGGGGTAACGGACGGGTGATGAGAGAAGGAAGTTGCTGCCCTGCTCCGAGCACCCGAATCCACCTGAGATTGGCTGTTGTCGCCCTGGAACCAAAGTTGACACGACGTCTGCATCAAAGACGGATGCTTCCAGAGTAATGGACATCAGTATACCGCCCGTCATTGCATATATGGCGATACGGGCTCGCAGGCGTCGATCACATCCCAAGCGCCCGAGCAACCGCCTTGAAGTCGCTGTGGCTTGCGTGTCACCGAGACCGTTCCATCTCCTCCCATCTCGCAACCGTGTCGCTATCGGCACCAACCATCTTTGACATTGCGACTATGTCTCTACTTGCTGCAGATGACGATATCGCCGGATCCTCCTCTACCGCGCCTCAATCTGCAGTTGCACTGTCGCCCGACTCGAGCCTCGCACCAACTACAAATCTAGGCGGCCCTGCTGCGCCGAGTGAGCGCATGCGCTCACATCGGGGTAACCGACCGTCGCTTCCGAAAACAAAACAGTGCCCACAATGTCCTGCTCGTTTCACCCGAACAGCCCATCTGAATCGCCACTTGCGAACACGTTAGTCTCTCCGTCGGCCAGATCGAACATAGTTATCGCTGCTAACACTCCGCGTGTTTGCAGACACCAACGAGCGCCTGCATCGTTGTCCCGTGCGTGAATCCCTCGGGCTTTGGCCTATCCAATGCTGACTCTATGGCAGGCCTGCGACGCCGAATTCACGAGGAGTGATCTTCTTGCTCGACACAGATCCAGTTGCGGAAGTCCGTGAGTGGGATATGCACCGATCGCCACTCTCGCTATACTTACTCTTCACCAGTGTTGTTCCACCTCCATCGCGGCGCAAGTCGTGCCAGTCTTGTGCCGAGAGCAAGGTGCGTCATACATTGTCGCGCACAATATTTACTGTCATTCACATTGACATCCTAGATCAAATGCGACCTCCAAGAGCCATGTACAAGATGCAGCACTCGTGGAAAAGACTGCGTATATCTCAATGACCCTAAGGCTTCGTTAGAGAAGAAGGCGGCATCCGTAGCTCGCAAAAACCAGAGGCTCCCTGCGGTTCAAGAGGACGGATCTGACCGTGAGCCTACTGCCGAAGATTCCCCGCAATGCTCTATTCAGACCGACTTCGAACTCGGCTCAACCGACATGCACTTCGGCATCGCTCATAGTCCTTCCAACCTCTCACTGTCCTCAACTCCATCACGTGGAACGCTGTCTAGAGCTGAGCCAGCAGATGGGCTCGATCTTCCCAACGCTGTCAATTCATTCTTCCCAGCGTTAGATCTAGGTCTTTTGTCTCTCGGGGCTGAAACCAGTGAGCTGATTCATCAAGTTGATGGAGCAGAAAAGGACTAATCTCTTCCTCGCAAGACGCCGGTCTTACTGCAGACCCCGAATCGCAGTACTTCGACGATCTGTTGGCGATGTTCACGGCTAACAACGCCGATCTCAGCGGTGGCGCTCCCGTCAAGACAGATGTCATGAGCGACCAGCAAGCCATGTTTCCAACTTCCCAAGGCTGGTTGGGCGAAGGCGTGTCGACGCCCTCCTACGCGTATGACGTACACATGACCCCGTTCGCGGACACTTCTGCACAGACAGCAGCCTCGATTGACCTCGGATATGCCGTCTCTCCACCCTCCGACACTACATCGCCGTCTACCGTGCTGTCTTCCGAGGGCCACGATTCGCCCTCTGATATCCGAATTCTCAGGATGTGCGCGGAACATGTGGCCCCGGCTACGCTACAACATTACTGTGCGTTATTGGTGCCTTTGATGTTGTCTTCGCGTCTCATAGTGTTACCCAGTGTATCTATTCCACACAAACTTCGTCACGCACCTTCCCTTGCTCCACATGTCTACTTGGACCCTTAAAGGGAAACCGGACATCCTTATACGTGCCATAGAAGCGTGCGGAGCGCTCTTTGCCGGTACATCGGATGCTGACGAGTTCATTACGGACACCATCGAGAGCACTCAAGATAGACTGCTCCGTGCTATGGTAAGTTCCATAACATTGCTATGCACGATGACGTCTGAGCTGTATCTTACAGACCAACGTTCACGGTGATCTCGAGCAACAACTCTATGTGATACTTGCAGGTCTCTTGCTTCAGGCGATCGGTCTATCGCGCGACAGCTTCGAGAACCGTGCTTCGTCCAATCTTTACCATGGCATGATCATCATGGTGAATAGCGGTTTTCTTTGCACTGGACGCTGACACCAATGGCATGTCTTTCAGATGATCCAAAAGTGTGGATTGATGACACGCTGCTCCGAATACGTCCCTCCGACGTTCGACGACTCAATGACAGGGGAAGATGTGAACACTGCTTGGAGGGCTTGGGCTATGCACGAGACCATGAAGCGGTGCGTCACCAACGTTGCCTGATTGGTGCATTACTGAATATCAAGTAGCACGCTTCACCTTGCATATGTGCACGATACGTACCATTGCGTCTACTGTGCGTGTCTTGGAGTTTCCTTTACATCGCACCTTCATGCTCATTTCTGCCTTCAGACTCGTTACCTCCATCGTTCTCTCAGAACGACGTTCACTGGCGGCTTCCGGCAGATGACGACCTTTGGCACGCGTCTACGGCCGAAGAGTGGCTAAATCGGTTGCGGAAAGCCCCATCGCATTGCGATGTGGCCACACGGCTGACTGGCTTCAACGTACAAGCGGCGCTTCAAGTGCTCGGCGGTATACACGTTGTCCCCATTGAGCTCCCACTCTCCACCTTCTCCCACCTCATCCTCATCCACTTCCTCATTTCCGAGATCGCCGCGACGCATACATGCAGCGAAGTCGGAGCACCGAAGACCAGCGCAGTCTCGCTGCAAAGTGCTTTGCAGATCTGGTTGCATAGCTGGAAGCACTCCTGCGAATCTTCGGGTCTCAACCACGCCCAGGCCTCCCAGAATGCACTGCGTTTCTACTGGCTTGCTCAGATAACGCTGCTCGTTGGCGCGCAAGCACCCCGCATGTACTCACTCAAGGCTGACGTTCGTTATCGAGTGATGATGCGTTGGGCTGCTCACATTCGCGCGGTCGTCAAAGACAACCAGCCTGCGTCACCGTCGCTCTGGTACGACCTACTGGTTGCAACGGAGGCCGGACAGGACAAAGCGCCGACAGGGACCCTGTCAAAGACACTTTTCACATTGCTACCTGATATCTGATGGATCCCAGAGCCCACTCCTTCCTTTGTCTCTTCGATTAGACCTAGACCAAAGATTTGTGTACACCATACCTTCCTTGAAGATAGAGAACGAGTTTTGCTTACTGAACGGGACCGGAATGTACTTACGCAGCCCTGATGTATTTTCATGAACAACGTACAAACAGCTTCTGTGGGAGGAACACGATCCGCGATGGCCGCGTGCTAGCTCGTCGACGCACGCGTGCGAGAGAGGAAAGATACGAAGACGCAGTAATAGATGCCGACACTGAGACTCATAAGGTTATTATTAGAGTTTGGCAGACCTTTCTATCTGCATGAGGGAGACACGGCGGTGTCGGGTGAAAGCCGAACGCAGCCGAACGTGCGTCCCACCGTCCTTCTTCGGAATTATCCTGGCGCTTCACGTGTGTTGGCTCTAGAAACAAGCCGACCATGGCTTGCGCTATCCTTCGAGGTAGTGTGTGCACGCTTCAAGGCCGGCGCAAATGCCCTGACGGGCGGCGCAGTCTGCAGGAGACGCGACGAACGTACAGGTCACTTGACCGCGTTCGTGCCCGGACCGCTTCTGCCGACTTCCACCCCACGAACTGGCAAGATGGCTCTCGCTTCATGTACCTGCGAAGTCCAGTAGGTGGAAGGAGTTCGCGCGGCAAGTCAAGTCAACACGAGTTCGAACAAAGTTCGAAGAGCGAGAATGGAGAAACACCCCCACGGCGCGCTTGATCCGAGAAGGCGAGCTTGACGTTCTGCTCACCCGAGAGTACGGCTCATGCAGAGGACTACTTGCTTAGTATCATTATCTGGCTTCTATTCGCGGGTCCCGCCTCTTTCGAGATTTTGAGAGAAGTTGAATGAGGCTTCCAAATAGGTCCAATTCGTCTGAATTGTACAGGAGATGGGAAAACAGCGGAGTCTCCGAGTCGACCAGGCGGAGCGGCCGGCAGTTGTATCTACAGCGATCACGAAATACTACTTCTGGTAGCGATTGTACATCATATAGCCCGTCAAAACAATCCCGGCGTACGTCGTATACTTGACTGCGTTGAAGACCATCTTGACGTGACCGAAAAAGTCAGTGCTGATACCGGAACCCTCATCGAGCCGCTCGATCTGGGATGCTTTGATGCTCGACAAGAGCTCTGATTCGGATGGTATCACGGGCGCCGCAGACGCGGGCGCGGAGAAGCAGCTAATCTTCTGAGGCCGCGCGAGCATGGACTCAAGCGCGGACATGTCAGCAGAGTACGGATTCACTGTAAAGAGCGTCAACCATCGTCTCGCTCGACAACCCGAAGGCGGTACATACCGAGGAAGGAAGTAGGGATGTCATTGACCAACGTCACGTCGCTCTCGATGTTGCTTGTGATGTAAGAGGTGAACGGCTCTCGGGAGAAGATATAGGCGACAGATAAGCGCGAGCTGATCGGCAAGTCAGAAAGTACACCAGCGAATGCGTGTAAACACTTACAGAGTCTGAAGGCGGTCAAGTGCCGCATCGGGTGAAGGAACTTTCGCCACATAGACGGCCGGACCATCTTTGAAGACATGCGGTGCCGAGGACCTAGCGATGTAACATTTCAACATCGCGCTACGTGCAGGGACGGAAATAGTATACGTACGCAAGATCAACTTCGACGATCGACAGCCTCCCATTGCCGCGAGCAAGCTCGCTGGAAACGTCAGACAGTGCGTTGATGAACTCGTCCGACACCTCGTCGTCGACGAGAACGAGACGAGGCGTATGCGCCACGCGTCCTCCAAGGATAAGAACTCCTCTCACGACGAGACGCGCGATACTCTGCGCAACTTGCCTACGGGTCTTAAACGGCGTGTCCTTCCAACGAAGACCAAAGGCGCTGTTGTTCACGTAGACTGCACTTGGCGTCGTAGATGGCTGAAGGGTGCCGGAGACTGAGATGGGTTCACCACCATGGGTGGCGAGTACGCTGACAGAAGGACTAGCGATGATGTCGTCGAGAGGGGAGCCCGCTGAGCGCTTCGGCACATCAAGTATAGCATAGCCCATCTGGTCAAGGTAGCTGCTGAGAGATAACTTCATGACATCGTCGACGGGGCGTGCCCGGGAAGTCTGTCCCGCTGAATGAGCGAGATAACAAGTGAACTGGGTGGAAGCTACGTACGAGGGCAACGACATTGCCAGCAGCAAAAGCCAGGGCCATAGGAATCATAGAAGAAGCCAAGAACGCTAGCAGAGTTATTATCGACTGGTGAAAGGGAAGGCGAGAGTGTAGCTTACAGGTATGGTCTGGTGAAATAAGAACGACGCCAACTGGGTTATGTGTTTCGCCACTCTTCGTCTTTTGCCCCTCCTTGGCCTCGCGAGATACTTTGTCGATGCACTGCTGAATACAGACTAGAACCGCATTCATTTCAACGAGGAGGTCGACCTTTGAGCACTGAGTGTCTATATCATGCCAATCAATGTCGTGTCGCATCGGAGCGGGTGAGTATGCGACGAGACCGACCTCGTAGTACGGCATCCGTGAGAACGGACGACTCCGTCTGTATGATATCTGGACGACGTCAGAGAGAGAGGTTATTCGCTGACGCAGAGACATACCGTATAGGCCTTGCAGCTGCTTACGACGCCAGACGAGAGGTCGGCTGACGCCCATGTCGAAGCGCGCGGCGAGGTCAAGAAGCTGCCGAGCAACGGTTAGCCCAAGCCTTGCGAATGTGCTTGCGAGCAATTCGTACCTTCTCAGGGACTGATTCCATGATGTTTCAAGGCAGCTATACGGCGAGCGAAGGAGGTTCAAGTGGTTGACGCTTGCCCTTAAGTAGCACAATGTCTACGGTCTCCGGCTCCAGACCATGATGAGCTACCAGGTGCCGCAGCGCGCACAGAAAGTGCCATGATATCCACGCCCATCAGCGGACGGTCGGCAACCTGGTCAAGAGCAGAAGCAGGTCCCAGAGTGGGTGCATGAGAACTCCGCCGCGTGACATCACGCGCCGCGACCAAACTCCGACCAAATGGGCTTTTCGTCTGCTCAACCTGCACGCCGATAGTATTCTTCGCCACTTGATCGGACCGAGGGCTTATCCACATACGCTGCAACGATGCCAATGCAAACCAGCAATATGAGGCCCGTTATCTGCCTCAAGTGTTGCGCTACAACTTGAACACATTTTCGTGTCCCGCATCGCAACCTCCAAGTGCACGCGATACGCTAGAACGTTGTACGTCTGAGGACTCTCGAAACTGAGCCTCTAATCTCAACATCTAACCCTTGCTAGAGCCTTACCTACAGTCATGGTGTGTATATGTTCGTGGACTCTTGAGATCATTGCGATAGTCTGACTCGCACATCGCGCTACGTGTTAGACGCTCAAGACGGACCCGCCCTCGAAGCCTGGCGCTCTAACTCCATTTCCGGAAGGGCCCGCTCTTATTCCCGCTCTCGTTGATCACCGGTCGTCTCAGGACGCTGATCGCGTCGCCGTCCGCTACCCCCTGCCGGAGACTGGCCGATACGTTGACATCAAATGGGGTCAACTGGGCTCGGCGATCGACAACGAGGCTTGGAGGCTCGCCGACAAACTCGGTGTGCGCCACAGCTCAGAGGAGACTTCTAAGGTGGTCGGCGTCCTCTCTCGCAGCGACGCTGGCTACCTAGTCACCATCTATGCGTTGCAGAAGCTAGGGCACATTCCGGTTGGTGTCACATTGTCGTGTGAACCGATCCCCACTGACGACCGCTTCAGCTACTGCTCTCGACTCGCAACTCTCACTCCGCGATTGTCAACCTCCTCAAGGTCACAGAGGCACACGCCATCCTCACGGACGCCACGAACCATGATGAAGCGATCGCATCCGCCCGTGACGCCGGTTTGGACGCAGTCTACGACGTTGCCAAACCGCCGGCGTCTGACCTTGTCATCGAAAACCGCAAACAGTTCCCTTTCAAGCTGTCATGGGACGAAGAGTGTGACCGCACTGCCATGATACTGCACACCAGTGGCTCGACGGGTCTGCCGAAACCGGTCTCTCTTACGCCGCGCTTCTTCCTCAAACAGTTCTACTACCCGGAGAAGTTTATCGCGAAGTATAATGGACTTTCCGTTCTAGCCACTCTTCCACTCTTTCACGGGTCTGGAGTGGCGCTTACCCGCAACGCTCTGCTTTGGCTAGGTACGCCATCCCTTGCGATAGTTTCGGTGCGGGCTCAACTGAGATTCATCAGGATGGACTGTCATGTTTCCCGACCCATCCCGCCCGGTGAATGCCGGCTCTCTCATCCAACTCTGTCAGACTTCGGACGCTCCCGATATCGTCATTGGCGCCCCGTCGGTCATCGAAGAGGTCGAATCTTTACCCGGTGGCCCAGCTGTTATGCGCGGCCGGCGCTTCTGGTTCTTCGTCGGCGCACCCGTACCTCCGCATCTCGGTGACCACCTGGTCGAGGAGAACATTCCGTTCTTGGCCATGTTAGGTGCTACCGAGATAGGGCAGATGAACGTTCTTGAGCCAGACGGGCGATCTCCCCAGGATTGGAACTATCATGAGATCCGTCCTGACTTGGATATCGTCCTGGAGCCTCGCGGCCCGAGTCCTGGAGAGGGACCATTCGAGCTCATCATCTTAGCGAAAGATGGTTGGCGACCCGGTACTGTCAACATTCGTATGGGTGGTCGTGAAGGCTACGCGACGTCAGACCTGTACTCGAAGCACCCGAGCCATCCACGTCTATTCAAGCATGTCGGACGCGCGGGTTCGTCTCTCAATCTTCTCAATGATGCTTGCGAAGACTTACCCCTCTTAGACGATGTGATAGTTCTTTCAAATGGGGAGAAGACGCTCTCGAGGGCCATCGAGATCCCCATGGAAGAAGACTCTCATGTCAAGAACGCGATAGCATTTGGTACGGGACGTCAACAGGTATGCTACTACCAGCGAGGTCGTATCTGTCATTGACCCTTCCGGCTAGAACGGCGTACTTGTCATGCCCACCGAGCGCTACGCTATCGACCCTGCTGATGAGACGGCCCTCGCGAACTTCCGTAACACGATATGGCCCGCCGTCGAACGCGCGAACAAGCAAAATCCTTCGCACAGCCAAGTCTGGAAGGAGATGATCCTCGTCACGACGCCCGGCAAAGACCTGCCTCGCACAGACAAGGGCAGCGTGAAGCGCAAACTTGCCCTCGAGCTATACGCACGCGAGATCGACGAGCTTTATCTGGCCGCAGAGACGCTTGTCTCCGATACCCTCGCACCCTTGCCTGCCGAGCTTCGTGTGCAGGGTCTTACGCAGTTCTTCCAGCAAGTCGCCGAAGAAGCGATGGCCCGCCCATTGGCCCCCGAAGACGACGTCTTCTCCTGCGGCATGGACTCGCTGAAAGCCATCTTCGTTCGCAACACGCTCATCTCGGCGCTGCGGCGTGATACGCGTACCAAAGATTTGTCCGGCAAGGTGCCTCAGAACTTCGTCTTCCTGTACACCACACCGCAGTCCATGGCCGAAGCTGTGCAACAGCTTGTCGAGACGGGCACTCTGGCGGATAGCGGAGATGAGTCGCCTGAGCAACACGCGCAGATTGTCAATGATGTCGTGCAGACATGGACGTCTGAGTTCCCGCCGCGCCCTGCACAGCTTACGCCCGACTCCGGTGAAGGCGAGGTCGTCATCTTGACAGGTTCCACCGGATCTCTGGCAAGTTTCACACAGACGTGGTATTCTTCATTTATTGATGATTTCGTAGGGCACGTTCATCCTTCACACCCTCCTGCTGGATTCCCGCGTACAGAAGGTTTATGCATTCAACCGCAAAGGCTCCTCGGCGTCGGTTGTTCGGCAGATGCAATCATACCAAGATCGCGGTTTAGAGGTCGACGTACTCCGACGCGCGGAGTCCACCCAACGCCTTGCTTTTTATGACGTCGATCTCGCTGCGCCGAACCTCGGACTCGAAGACCAGGTCTTTGCCAATGTACACGCGTCTACTACAGCGATCATTCACAACGCATGGGCGCTCAACTTCAACTGGACCCTCGCCACGTTCGTTCCGGTGCATATCACAGGCCTTCGCCGACTTGTGGACTTCGCCATCACCTCACCCCGGGCCACGCCGCCCAGCATCGCTTTTACGTCCTCGATCGCCTCCGCGGGAGCTATGACGGGCGTACCCGTTCCCGAGACTCCTCTCGAAGACCCTGCTGCGTGCCTTCCGCAGGGTTACGCGCGTTCGAAATTCGTCGGCGAGCGAATTCTCGCGATCGCCGCAGAGCGCGCAGGTTTGCAGACGCTTTCATTCCGTATAGGCCAGATCGCCGGCGACTCTGTACATGGTATCTGGAATACCAGCGACAACGTCCCGATACTCGTCCGCGGATCCCAGGAGCTCGGTTTCCTCCCGTCGGACTGGCCGCCCGTCGCGGCGTGGTGCCCTGTCGACTATGTCGCGCGTACTGTCGTCGACGCGTGCCTGGCCAACCCTGGTGTTCAGGGAGCCCGCACGTACCACATCGCCCAGCCAAAGCCTACGCCGTGGGCTCAGCTTACGCCCGTACTGCAACGGGAGGTCAAGTCTGTCACGGGCCAGGAACTAGAGGTCGTACCGATGCGCGAGTGGTTGGATCGCCTCAGCGCCAGCGGGCAATCGCCGGATACCAACCCTGCCGTGAGGCTCTTGCAGTTCTTCGAGAACTCGCTTGCGGGTCGCGGTATCCGGTGTCGCCTGGCGCTAGAGCGCACGCAGGAGGTCTCGCCGGCCTTGCGCGAAGTCCCGTACATCGATGACGATCTACTTTGCAAGTTCATTGGATACTGGAAGAGTACTGGCTACCTGAGGAAGGACTGATGCCTTCTCAGGCTCCATGATGTTGATACGTTTGAAAAGCAATGCGCCTGTATTCTGTGCCAAATGTGTGTACTACGTAGAGACTTGAATGTGTATGTATAGAGATGCCTTGTGTTCTAGCATTTGCTGAGAGTGCTACAGGATACCTTTACTACTTGAAGCCGGCGGCGCTCGGAGTTGACCGAAGGCGTGATGCACTGATGTCAGGCAGCGCGCAACATGAACTTGAACCACGATCAACGCATAGCAGAGTCCATGGCGTGGAGACCTCTTTCGGCTTGCAAGCCACACTCCTGAATACTTTGCCGGCACCCTCCTTGAACGACATTACCTTATCACGGAGCTAGACATATCGCCTGTTGAAATATCCCTCCGTGCTGGAGTTTTGCCGCGGATTGGTCGCAGGTGATGTCCCCGCGAACTTCTTTCTCTTTGGGCTCTGTCCGACATGCGGACTCAGTCATTACCAGTCGATTTATCCCCTATGTTATCATGATTGACGAGTCAAGTGCCAAGGTCGCTGGTGGCGGGACTCGACCTACCAAATCACCCGGTACCGCATCCTTGACGCGTGACGTCACGCGTTCACCCCGACAGCCACGGGCCACGGGCTTTTCGGATCTTTTGACTGGGTCCAAGAACTTCGCATGCGCATGGAGTCAGGGTGAACCCACATTCCATGCACCGCGATGCCTCTCTGATGCGCATGCCGACAGGCCGCTCTTCGCGAGACCAGAGTGGCGACAACCCACCCTCACTCGCCGCGATGCTATAACCTTGTGTGACCACCCGCTCGTCCCTTTCTCGGGTTGTATCTCGCGCATCTATCGACGCCGTAGCAACATTCAACATGGAAATGCCAAAGCCATCGTCTACTCCCGTTGCCTCTTTCTTCTTCTCGCATGGCTCTCCTCGCACGCTGGTCGATGCGACCGACACGACCGCTTTCGCCCAGAAGATCGCCGAGTATTCGAAGCAAAACGGCATCACTGGAATTGTCTGGATGTGTAAGTTTACTCGGTTTTCACACGTCCGCGATGCGCTTATGCATTCCTTGTAGCTGCTCACTGGGAAACGCATGGAGGAAAGCTCGAGATCTCGTCAAGTCCCAATCCGGGGAAGGATCTGATCTCATTTGTCCCTAAGGAAGTCCTCGGTACGAGAAACACGTATAAGCTTTCGGTATCTACTGACCTCTTTATATTAGAGTGGTACAACAGCTACAAGATCAACTCAAGTCCAAAGCTGGCGCAACGCTGCCATTCTATGCTCAGAGCCGCGGGCCTAGACGTAGATCTCAACCCGGAGGTATGGACGGATCATAATCTCTGCCTGCTTGCGTATTGACAACAATGCAGGCAATCTGGCACCAAGACGTACGTGCATCAGACGCTTGACTTATCCTTGTACTGATGGCTGACTACTGCGCCGCAGGTGATGATACCTATCCGCTGGATGTACCCCAACGATGTGGACTGTCCGCCCATGACAATCATATCCGTGAACGGACGCTTTGATCCATGTAAGCTATGCGCTCTCTAAAAGACCTTCCTGGGCTTATGCCGTGTGGTCACTAGACATGCACTTGAAAGTTGGCCTCGCGCTTCGTCCTCTTCGCCACGAGAAGATCCTACTCATCGGCACCGGTGGAGGCGTGCACAACCTGTACACGGTGTCCTGGCACCGTATGCTACTTTATCAAGACACGCTGACTCGCACGAAGCCCGTCGACCCCGACCTTGATGCGTTCGGTGTTGCGATGAAGGAGTGTGCGACGCGCAATAGCGGACCCGCCCTCGGTCGCGCGCTCACCCGCCTGCTCGCACACCCGCACTTCCTGCGCTCTAATCCGACGCCCGAGCACTACCTGCCGATGATCTACGCCGCTGGAGCGTGCACTGCACGCGAGGATGACACGGAAGAGTACCACAACATCTTCGGTGCGAACAAAGTACTACATCGTTGTTCCCGTGGCTGACCAGTTCTGTGAATGACGTTACAGGCGGGGAGAACTGGGAGATGGACACCCAACTGAACGTCAACTTCGCATTTGGCCTGCACAAATCGGACACTGTATTCCGGGAGTTCAAGGTGCAGAAGCCCAACCGTGTCAGTTCCCAGGTGTTGAAAGGGAGTGTCATCTCTGCGAAGACGCCGCCAATGATCGTCGCGTCGGCCTAAGCGCTTGACTGTGCTGCACACGGCTCCTCACCTAGATGCCCTGCTCTACGCGTGGGTCACGGTATTTGTACTTGATCTACGAGCTCCTAGATTTGCGACGCGACTCCATCATCATCAAATGCCTTCTTCTGTCTTGCATCGATGTATTCATGTATCAAAGTACCCTTGCGTCTTCAACGATATCCAATACTGTGAGCGCAGCAATGCAAGCTGCTCTGTCATGCCAGCGCGATCATCAGACAGTAAGGTACAGCTTACTCTATGTCCATGTAGTCTAGAGCGCTAGAAGCGTTGAGGCGGCTCTCAAGCTTCAAGCTTCAAACTTCAAGCGTCAAGAACGTCCGGAGTCTGTACTGCGGATAACGTGACCGCGAAAGGCATTGACGCGTTTCCGTCGGCGCGTGCGGCGCGACGCGCGCGGCTGGACTCGCTCCTCACCTCCTACCATCATCGCATCGCCGTGTCTACCCGCCTCTTGGCCGCTGCCATAGTCTGCAAAGCTGCTCAATTGATTGATGGCTCGCTTGGAACAACAAGATGGTCAGCTCGTGACGCATACAGACGTGGTCGGCTCATGCTCACCATGTGCGCCCAGTGGACCACTTGACTACCAGCACTCCCGTTGATGCACATCCAGATGGTACGCACCATACTATCACATAGTATACCAGACGCTGACTGGCTTCTAGAGTCTCGCGCCACCAAGAACACTCGCAAGAGGAAAGCCACCACGGAAGGCGAGCGAACCGCTCGCAAGAAGCGCAAAGGACGACTCAGTGTACTTCCCACCTTGCCCCTCGACATACTCTATGAAGTGAGCATTACGAGCGTATCATAGAGCGTGGACGCTTGCTCAAGGGTTTCGCGATGTAGATCTTTGCCCACCTCAGCCCTGGCGATTTGCTGCACCTCGCGCGCACAACGAAGTCTTTCCGCAACATTCTTATGACGCGCAAAGCTGCATTCATCTGGAGGGAAGTACTTGATGCGTCTGTCGAAAACGGAGATCCTCCGCGACCCGCAGACGTGTCCGAGCCTCAGTGGGCTGCGCTTGTCTATGGTAGACCTTGGTGCACGGTAAGTCTTAATGCTTGTCCAAGTTCCTCTCATGTGGAGACTCTGACACAAGTCACATACACCTGTAGGCATGTGGCGCGAGAACATCAGGCTCTACTAATTGGACGCTCCGCGTGCGTCTTTGCACGAGTTGCGTCACAGAACAGTAAGCTCATGCATATGCGGCGGCTCTTGTTGCTCCCATAACATCTTCGTGAAGGTTTCGTGTCGTCAGTATGTGGATGTATACAGTCCCTCACAAGGACCCGGACACACGCCTGCACGAAGTTTTGCCGGCTGATTGTGGTACGTCAACCATCCTGGTATCCCGCTGACAATTGATTAACGAGTATAACGGATAGTCAACTACCCTTCCTATACCCGGAAGTCAACCCGCCCTGAACTGGTCGTCACAGTCAAAGATCTTGAGTCCTATAAGGACGCGCTCGCGAGCCTGCGAGAGCAGTATCCCGACAATGCCGTATTTGAGGCACAGCGAAAGATACTCGACGATGCCATGAAATCCGCGCTTCTAAAGAGGATAGAGGTGCGCAGGCATTCATGATGTGTCGGACAATAAACGTGCTGATGCTGCTCGTACTCAAGCACGCTTCGCAATGCGGCCACATCGATAGCACAAAGGCGGAATCTCGTGGGAACGAGCTCAATGACATCCGCAAGAATCGTCACACTGAGTAGGTGTCTACTGAAGTCTCTTAAGTGATAATTCTGAATCGAGTCTCAGAATCAAAGCGCGCCTGTTAGCTCTCGGATATCTTGATGTCGACGTCGGGCATGGCGATCTGGGGAGGCACAAGGATGTGTGGGTTCCGCGCCCACTCACAGAACGAGGTTCGCATCTTCTTCTGCCTCACCGCATCAACTCCAAAGCTGAGTGTTATGAGTCTGGGAAAAGATCGAGCCGTCCGTCAGGCAATGCGTCGAAGGTATCCACCGGCGTCGCATTCACGAAGAGGTCTGCCAGCGCCGGCGCGGGCGCGAGAGTCTTGTCGGCCAGGCGTACTTGGACTTCCTACGAACCATCGCCGACGGTACTCAGTCCTTCATGCCATCTCTGGCAAACCTGGTCAAGCTCCCGCTGGTCTCCAACGTTATCGGCGAGGACTTGGATCCCTCCGATGACATGCTTGCTTCTATCGAGCCTGCTCTTCAATCGTCTCGGCCGGAGATAATCAAGTGGATGCAGCGTCGAGCTCAGCAACTCCGAGAACTCGTTCCGGACGATTGGCCGCATGTGGCACCGTACATCGCGGAGTCCGATATAGAGTTCTCAACGTTCCAGCCTGAGGAAGCCTTCAAGGACCTCGATCTCGTCGCTTACACTTGGCACTACCCCCTTGGCCTCGGCACAAGCATCTCCACTCATGTCATCTACGGATTAGATGCCATAGCCCAGCAGAACGAGAAGAAACATGACGTTCTCAGCGTCAAGCCCGCAAAGCGAGCTCATCTGGTGATGAGGCAGATACTCAGTCTACTAGGCCTGGATCCTGCCCAGACCACAGTACCCCAGATGCACCAGCTGGCAGACTCTGAGCTCTTCATCTGCGAAGGCTGTGTCGGCGCTGGTGTCTTCCTGGATCGCGACAAGATCAACACCTACACCCCCAAGCCTGCTGGGCACCTCGACGATATCAACTCCGTGTTAGCATACAAGAGTCGGGCGAGACACCCGGCAAGTATTTGAACGTGTATCGCATGATACTCAATTGCCTGGGGCTATCTGGATGAGGCAAATATCCCAAGACACCTGTAAAGTAACTCAGGGATACTCTTTGTGCTATCATACTTGTACCGCGATGGAAAGATATCTTCATGACAGTCAAGAACCATGCGATACTGCGCCGTAACCTTGGTCCACGGCCGTGCCATTCCGGAGTAGCCAAATCCGTCAGAGTTTGGTCGGTGCTCGACGTTAAGAGAGCTTGGAGAGGGTCTTCCGGCGGATTCGACCTCCGGCTATGCCAATTACCGTGCCGACCCGCCTCTCAAACGCGCGCGACACGTCGACTTCGCTCAAACTTCCCTTTGCCTTCGACCACGATCTGCCTCTGAGGTTCCGCTTGCACACAAGCAAGGGTCCTCTGCCGTTCCGCGCCGACGCCGATATCGTAGGTGAGAGGCCGTTCAATCATTCGGGTCGCAGAATATCTCAACTTACGTGTTATTAGCGGACCCTCTTGGACGCAGTCGACGAGGGTTTTGAACACCTAGGTCGTGTAGCGACTCGACACCTCGACACCGTCTCGCTATTTTCGAGCACACATACGTGTGCTATCCAACTGCCCTGAATCTCGAACTTATACCGTCGTAGGGCCTCTGAGGGCTCACGGCACCGTGTACGGCGTCAGTGGCTAGGGTGGAGAGGGTGTGCATGACGAGGTGGTGTACTTCTGTATGGAGTACGTGTCTGCGTGAAGGTGGCTCGCCCCTGTTCCCTGCTCCGTATACTGGTCTCGTACTCCCATAGCTGTATCATGTTACCCTACATGCTGTGGTAGCTACAGTTTCCCTGTGTATCGTACCATAATAGACGCAATAAAAATTCTATATATTATTAAAATGGCGGGATTGCCGAATTCACCAATAAAATATCATGTCCTGATAATGGTCAAAATTGTAATCGCCGTCCACCTGGGTTGGATACACCATCACTGTCGTCTCCATATACATGCAGCCTCAGGCCTCACGAGCCGATATCTCACTGACACTCGTACGGTGTCACGGTGGGATCGAGGTGCCGGGGGATATCTGAGCGATTTGAGGTCAAAATAGTAGATGATACCGCGGGTATATGTGTGAGATATCTCCACCTATACCTCGCGATATCCAGCCCCAAGTCTCTCTGAACCATCTGTCAGGATTGGGGGTGTATTCATGGACATCGGCAGTGAGTCATATCTTGACCTTCCCTACCGCCGATGGCTGACGTTAGGCTGGAGATGGTACACGCAAGGAGCTGTTTCCATGGTGCGAATGGGGGCCCACCCGAGTTCAGGCTTCTGTCGCCCTTAGAACGACGATACGTGTCCGCGTTTCGCAACAGATATCGTGCCATGCATCCTACAAGAGAGGGTGATCGTCCTCACTGGGGATGTGGCCATTGCGACTTCCACCTGCACATGCCGGCTACGCGCCTTGAGTCGTACCGCCCTCGTCACTCAACAGGCGATTGGCACATACTATCGTCGATCGTGGACCATCTTCGAGTTTCGTACGTCCGCTCATGATGATTCATCGGGCATGCAGTCTCACTGCGCCTCATAGACATCACATACTGAACGGCACGGAAGGCGCAGATTTCTTCTGGAACCGTCAGTGGCCGCGTTCAGTGTGTAATTACGGAGCGGAGATCCCCTCGTCTGGTTTACTGGAGGCAACAGAGGAGCTCGATCGGTTGATATCAGAGCACCACCAGCATTGGAAGGCATATTGTGAGACCTTTATGTATGTGAACGCCGAGACCTAGCATTCTGCGACGTCCACGAATCATTCCTGCAGACAGTGATTGTATGAGTAGAGGTACCCTGTGTATACGTATTTCGAGCATCTTCGCGATGTCGTATGAGTCCGGCTTTGCCAAAATAGGGATGTCATTCTATCCGTCACACTTGTATCAAGATGTCGAGGCGATATTCAGAAATGTAAAATGGCATTATGGTAGGGCCAGCATTGCCCGTAGTATGATAGGATAGACACCTATGGATAAACTCGAATCAGCTTCTGCGAAGACACCACACGCAATGAACGTACCCGCAATGAGCCACTACCAGAACTCCCGCCTTTTCTTCCTCATCTCCCGCACAGTTGTTGTCCTCTCGCCCCAACTCTGCCTAATCTTCTCGTGTTCGGCGAAAAACTCCTTCCTCGCCTTGGTCCGCTGGGTCTGCTTGAGCGTCGCAATTAATCCGACGGTGCTCGGGCTAACGCCGAACATCCTCCCGAGCTTCCTCTGCGTGTACTTCTCCGGGTTCAACTGCCTCAACTTGCGCATCTCCTGCACTTGCGCATCCGTGAGGCGTGCACCGGGCGCCTGAATGTCGTCCAAGGCTGGTGGAAGAGGTGTATCGGCCGGCGCGTCCGATGCAGGGCGCAGCAATGGCGACGCGGGATTTGTGGTGTAAGAGTGCACGGAGGGTATTGAGGGCGGCGGGCGGTGAATAAATGTGAGGTCGCCGTCGGGCAACGCCGACGTGCTGGCGTGCGCCGGGTCCGCCAGCGGGTCGGGCATCCGCGGTTTTGGCCGTTCTGGGCCGGTAGCGTAGGCGCGCACCAGCGCGCGCGGTGCGAAGCGTGATGAGGAGCGCAGGGCTAGCGTCGCCATGGCCGTTGACCGTAGAGGAGCTCGTCACTGGCGCGTCGAAGGCTTAGCGCGTCTCGAAATTGTGCACGCGAGCGCGTTTTCTCACGGGTCATGATTGATGGGAGGTCCACGTATAAGCTACAACGAATATTTTGCTACATCACGGATACACTTAGATCAGGCATCACACCCCTCTTCGACTTCTATTCCGTCTTCAAGAGCCGTGTCCTTCCATCGTCCGATGCCAAAGCGGTGGTTGACCCCGTCGAGCTTCGGCAAACACGCCGTGCCACCACATCCGCCAGTCTTGTCCATCGGGAACAGGTAGAATACCTCCTTCACTCGCGAGTGCAGCAGCGCCATACTGCACATGATACACGGCTCGTGCGTCGTAAAGAGTGTGAGCGATGTCAAGAGGTAGTGTTGCCCATTCTTCTCCGTCGTCGAAGGCGTTTCCGCTCGAGATGAGCTGGGCGAAGGCTCGGGGCGAGAGACAGAGCGAGAGGGCAGCGCTGTGGCTCGATAGTCGCCGACTTGGCGTATGACAGCCATAACAGCGTGGCGCAGGGGATGTATGGCGGATGTCCGAGTGTCTGTGGAGGTGAACGAAGGTAAGCTTGGATCAGCGCCTTCATCTCCGTCGAAGGGCGTCGGCACATGCGCTGCGATGGGTAGCTCGCCCGATGCGCTCGCTTTCCTGGCCTCGGCTACAACATGCTTCATCGCGCGTCGTGCCCAGCGTACTTTCGCTTTCGACCAGACTTCGGGTACGTCTTTCCGCCTCGGAGCAAAGACAGTAGGCCACAGCGTATTCTTCAGCGCAAGAGAGGTCTGCGTAATGGCAGCCGTTCGGGGTACTTTGATGAGGTATGCCGCAGATATCGGGAGGTCAGCGGGAAGCGAGGGAGCGTCGGGCGAATGCGTTATGAGTAGTGTTGAATGGGTAGGCGACTTGCGGATCCGCTTGAGGTGCGAGAGGGCGGGGGAGTCGTAACCAGACGTCTTGAGCCATTTCAGCATGGTCGTTGTATATTTGGGGTCGGCGATGTCCACTGCCCAGGCTTCTACTATACGTCCATCAGCACACATCAGATTGGCAGTGCTTGCATAGACATACCGGTCCGTATGGACTCCATGTCCTCTTCCTCGAGCTCGTCGGGTGTTATTCGTACGCGCGTGAAAGGTAGATCGTCTTCAGCCACATGAGCCGTCGGATCGACTCCGTCTTCATCATCAGAGGCATCAGAGTCAGAAACAACACCGAGTCCACCCAAGGGATCATCAACCTCGTCCGAAGCTAAAGGTGAGGTCTGCGCAGCGTTGACGTCTTCGAACCAGAGTTTATGCCCGTAAAAGATATAAAGCTCCTCGTCCGGATGGATCTCCCGAGTCGTGGTGTACTCTATGCTCTCTGTAGTAGGATCAAGGGAAAACGATACATTCGGGGTCCTGTTGTGGTTGAACAGCGATCCTACCTGCTCGTTAAGATCTCCCTTCAGATCAAATCGTAAGAATACTGACCTAGTCCAAGCGCAAGCGCCATGCGTCCATCGCGCCACTTGAAAGTATAGTGGTCAAGCACAGTGTGCTTCGCGTGCGCCTCATACTCTTCCGCAGTGAATAGCAGCACCGGACTGACTTCAATCAGGGTATGGGCTGGGATCGCACGCGACGCTGTATCCTCATAATTTTCGTCTCAGGCCAAGATAAATAATGTGCGATAGTCAAACAGACCGAATACACCGCGTCCTTTCCCTTCCGTGTACTTGATGACACATCCTGTCGAGTTGAGATGCACGGGCGCGCTAATCGTGGTCGGTGTTGAGTTTGCCATCTGCCATCTCGGGCGCGCATGCCGGCGGAGACGCGACCTCGGCCGCAGTCTGAGACGCGTCAGACGCGTCGCAGACGCGCGCGAACGTGTCCGCAGGATACCATCACTTGCTTCGCCGGCCATGCATCCCCTCCCGTTACAACTTGCCTCCTACCTTCATCCTCTGGTCTTAGCGTTGAAGAGACACGTCGCGCGAGATGCCTGACGCGACCGCGCCCCGCCCTTTACCGGGTTTCTTGCTACTGAGCGTGCTAGTCCCTGCGGCTGCTTGGTTCATTATCCGGCCTGTCATCGCGCCAGTGCCCGCTCTGCCTGCTCTACATGTCTCGCTTGGGATGTCTATACTTGCATTCATTGGCACATTATATCTTGTCCCTGCAGTCGGACCGTCCATGGTCAAGGCGAACCTGAAGGGACGCGACCTGCTCAAGACGTATAGCACACCAATGTACGCGCCCTGTCCATCAGTTGTGGCGAAGTCTTGCTTACAAAACCTTATGCAGACCCGAAAGTTTAGGATTAGTCTGCGCATGCGTCTACATCCTCTCCTTAATCACCTTCATCCCCTTTGCCTTCTCCACCTTCAACGGCTTCCACCAATACACCGTGCGCGAAGGCATAATCATCAACGCGTTTCCGCATTACCAGCTCTCCGTCTACCTCTCTTCTCTACTATCGCTGCTTGTTGCAGCGATGTTGGGCTTTCTGGACGATGTGTTCGATATTCGATGGAGGCATAAGCTGCCGATCCCTATCATCGCCAGTATACCGCTGTTGATGGTGTACTATGCGGAGAGGGGCAATACGAATGTTGTCGTGCCACTACCGCTAAGGTTTATCTTTGGGACTTTGTTGAACCTCGGTTAGTCGCGTAATAGCTTCGAACGCGCTCATGCTAACCAAGGATACGGACAGGCCCATTATACTACCTGTACATGTCGATGCTATCAACATTCTGTACCAACAGCATCAACATCCTCGCCGGAATTAACGGCTCCGAAGCTAGCCAAGCGCTCATCATTGCTCTTTCGGTCATCCTGAACGATCTCCTATATCTGCCATGGCCGTTTGGTTTCCACATCCCGGTGCACCTACTAGGTAACAAGGCCGAAGTTGAAGTTGGAGGCGTATGGAGTGCCGGCATGGCATACGGCAGCACAGAGCTTGTCGAGAGGCATCTGTTCAGCTTGTACTTCATGCTGCCGCTCGTCGGCGTGACCTGTGGATTCTTGTACCACAACTGGTAAGCCAGCTCTTCCAGTCATACAGCACACGAACAAAATTTGACTGGATTTGATAGGTACCCCGCCCGCGCCTTCCCTGGGGACACATTGTGCTACCTCGCCGGCATGGCCTTCGCAGTAGTCGGCATCCAAGCACACTTCTCAAAGACGCTCCTCCTCTTCTTCCTCCCGCAAATATTCAACTTCATCCTATCGTGCCCACAACTCTTCGGCCTCGTTCCTTGTCCACGCCATCGTGTGCCGCGCTTCGACGCCGACGCCAACTTGCTGCATCCGAGCAAAGCGCTATTCCTCACCCCGCCGAATGGACTTTCGACACTAGTGTTGAAGATGTTGGCGGCGCTCAAATTGACGGAGTTGACTGTTCATCCGCAGACGGGGGCCATTCTGGAGTGCAAGAACCTTACTATCCTCAACTTCCTTCTCGTGCGCCTGGGCCCGATGAACGAGAAGAGGCTCACGCAGACGCTCATTACAGTCCAGGTGCGTTGATGCAGATCTTCTTGATCATGAGGAGACACACCTGATGCGGATTTATCTAGATTTCAGGAAGTGTTTTGGCGTTCGTCGTCCGCTACGGTCTGGCTGGATTAGTTTACGACGGCGACCGGCGCTGAGTTGTATCGCGGCATGCCGACGAGTGCCTCGGCCTAGCGGTGTAGCGCGGCGCAGTACGGCGGCGGAGCTAACAAGAGATCGGAAGACCAGAAGACTCGCAGTGATAGACGGCGCGGGTCAGGAGGGGAGGAGTCCCGCCGTACATGGAAGGAGATTGAGGGTGCTGGACGCTGCAATGCGGAGGAGCATTGCGGTGCTAGAGACACGAACGCGGAAGATTGCGCCCTACGCGGCGCCCGTGCAATCTAGAGTCACGCAGGATATACGGACTGAAACGCGGTGTTGGCGAGGCGGACGAGGCGCGGGCGAGGGTGGTCGCGTGATATCGGCGGAGGGCCGATTGTGGCGCTTGCCCATGGGTTGCGCCGGTCCCGCCACAGCTTCGAGTGGCGATTTCAGCTGCTGCAAGCTGCCTGCGAAGCATACCGGATATGAGGCTTCTGCCTGTGATATCATCGCCAGCGGCGCGTGTTGCTGCCTCAATAAATCAATGCTGTACTTGCAAGTAAACGGACCACATCAGAGGACCACCCAAATGCTTGACTAGCGCTTGGAAAGCACGCCAAGCGCCCGAGCAGCGTCAAGCATCGTCAAGCACTCGCAAGCGCACAGAAGCGCACCCAAACAGTCCACACGCGACGTCACAACGCCGCCTCGCCGAAATGACCTGAAATGATGTTTCCTTCACCGTGGCCCTCCCCTCGTATTTCTTGTTTGTAGGCGGTTCCGATCACTACAAGCATTCCAGCGAACTAAATTTTGTGGCAAAATTCGGCCGGATCGTTGAGGAAAGTCGACGACTCTGCTGGAGCTCGCCGCCACGAGGCGGAACTCGGCAACCGCCGTGCGTGTGCCCCGACTCAACATAACACCTCATCCCTGCCCTACGCGCCTCCAAAAAAGGCTGGAAGGCCAGCTGGCAGCACGCTTGAACCTATTCCGCTGGTTTTCAAGTAAGTCCGAAGCAGGAGAAAGGATCCCGAGCTCGAGGTCATTTTGAGAAGACCACGTGAGGGCGTGCTTGCGAGTGCTTGACGGCGCTCGGGCGCTTGGCGTGCTTTCCAAGCGCTAGTCAAGCATTTGGGTGGTCCTCTGATGCACAAAAGACGCGGTCCTTTGTGCGGCGCAGCCTTGGCACGGGAAAGAAATGGAATGGACTGTCGGACTGGCCGCCGCTGCCGGTGG